GGAGGGGGGGAGGGGGAACAGGACCCGCTGGGACTGTCGCGTCTCACTCTCTTTTATCCAGTCCTCAGTGTGTATGCGCACGTATGCTGGTATAGTACGTAAGAAGTGCGACGGCGGCATTCGTGGGGGAGGAAAAGAGGGAGAAAGAGAAAAAGATAGAGGAACTGCTAGGGCAGTCTCCCAACGTAGTCTCGTTGGTTAAGCTACACGCGGATTTTACTTGCGTCTTGTTAGCCAACAAGTGGGAAAAAGAGAGAAAGAGCAATAAACGTAGTAAAAAAAACAGAGACAGAGAAAATTGAAATTGGTAATAGGGGGCCATGCAAGGCATGGAACCTGATATAGAGTGCTATCACTTGCCCATGAATCGGCAAAGTATAAAAGCCTGTATAAACAAGTCTATTTATTTGTCGATCTCTGTGACAAAGTTATATAAAATACAGTAAATGTTTTTGTGCTGTAGTGGAGCTTATATTTGAATTTGTTTTACTGATTTTCATTTAATGTGTTCATTACTATCCACTCATTTAGTACTGTGCTCAATTTGGCATTATTTTACATATTTATTTATAATATTTATACACTAATAGTGTAATTTTTATGTAATAAATATTACATTATAATTTTTATAAAATTATACTGAAATATCGTTGCTCCATAATTGTTCGAGTGTTAGATATTTATAAAGCATAGTGACTCGTGGAAAATTGTTGTAAAGCAAATTTTGTGTTAATACAGTGGGAGTATGACACTTTTTAAACTGAAATTATTATTTTAATTATCATTTGCATTGAATTTATCGCAAAAACTTTTACTTGACATATTATAATTAAATATATTTAATTTCGTCATGAGGCAAAATACAAATTATATAAAAATCGAACTTCATATTAACTTCATATCAACTTCATACAGAAGGGTTTATTTTCGAAATTTATTAATCAATATCAATCTATGTATATAATTAATATGTATATAAATATAACAATTATATATTTCTTTAAAATGTAGTATATAAGTTCAAATATAAATGCATCCTTTTTAGATTTATTAATTTCGTAGACATAGGCCTGTATTGGTTATACATTTAATAAAATATATTTAAAAAAATAAAATTAATAAGAAATGATTAATGTTAAATTTTTCATACACCATATAAAAGATACATATTAATAGAAGAAATTCTATAAGATACATATCAATATCACTTTTATTCAATGCAATTTTTCGCAATAAAAACAAGATATATATTTCAAGGATAATAAAAATTATGATATACTGATATTCTTCAATAAAAATAAAGATATTAAATTACAACCAGATAAAATAAATAAATTTAACCTCAAATCAGTATAAGCTATAAATGTATACTTATTATATACTAAAAATATATACTTTTTATAAATTGTATATACACGAATATATTAATATTTCATAAAACTATAAATATAGTAATTAATTTAATCGATTTTATTTAAATATTGGTTAAACAGTAAATTTTATATAAATTGTCAAATATTTTTTTTCTATTATTTTACAAATATTTAAAAATAAAAGCTTTTAAATTATGTTGAAAAAATGTCAACACAGTTATTATTATTTTTTATTATTATTATTACTATTGTTTATTAATGTTATTATTATTATTATATTTTCATAATTTACACTAAAATGGAATCACTCAATATCCTGAATCAGTAAAATAATAATATTAAGTACACGTAAAATGAATTTAATACTAAATTTTATGCGAGTGATATTTAGTATTAGTTGTTTTTTCTATATATCGATTCGTTAAAATTAGTTATGTGTATATAACCATATTTAATATGCAATATTACAATATTTAAAATTTATTTATATAATTTTTGTATCCTATAAATTATCAAGTGATAAAATTATAAAATATATACTTATTTTATACAAATTTTAAAATCATTTCACTTATGAAAATTACATTTAAAACAGAATACAGTAAAAGTTTAATGAGTCATAATACTCAACTATAATATACAGAATATTTTGTTATAATGAATGATAAAACACACTGGATTCATTTTATTTCTATATTCAATAATATAAATGTTATCATATAAACATTTTCATTTATTTAAAATATATTTATATAAATTGCAATAAAATTCTTATGATTTTATTAAAGAAAAATACAAAACAATATACAAAACAAATTAAAATAAATATATATTATATTTTAACATAATTTAGTTAGTATTACGATTTTTGAGCTATCAAGAATTTAATAATGATACTTTTATAAATACATCATTATGTATATCATTCATATTACACCATAAAAATATGTCGTAACAAAATAGCATTACCAGACAAATGAAAGAATAATTTGATTATACCAAATTCAATAAAAAAGTACCAATATATTTATTCATAATTTTGTTTTCTATTAGTTATCTTTTTTTTTAATATTCTAATAATTAATATATTAGGTAATTTATTAAGGTATTTATAATAATTAATAAATCGTTAATATTAATATTTACGTATTTAATTAATTAATGGAATTTAAAAAATTTTAGTGGAAAATTTTTTCCTTCAGAAGTAAAAAATATTCATCATATATTTTAGAAGTCGACGGCTTATAAAATATAGTAAATAAACAAAAATATATGTGTTATTAAAAATTCAATGTTCAATATCGATTTACACTAACGTATGTAAATTTAAAGAATTTGGTTAAATAAATGTAATTAAATTTTTTAATAACCTAATATAGATTATTGAATTAATAGAAACTAAATTAATAGAATAAATTCATGATATAGTTTCAACAGAACTTAACTATTTATAGTTTAAATCAACTCATGATTAGCATGATTTTTTAACATGGTATCATCAATTAAAATATTGCCATTTGACCATATACGCTTTAATTTAGTGTAATATATGGAATATTGAATGCATTATTATATTCAATAATATAATACAAATGAATTATATTACATACAATTATCTATTATATAAAATATTATATATACTATAATTTATGTATATCATAAATCATTATCATTTTAGAATATTCGATAAGTAACAGAAAAATTTTAATTATTATATCATCCGCCTTAAGTAATCTACAAAAGAAATACTCTTGAATCGCACAATAGAAACTATACTGAACTTACTATAAATGATTTAACAGTTTTCCTTTTCATCTTCATGTAGAACATAGAAATAGTTATTAATATACATATTATGCAATAAAAGGCCTACTTTCGTGTTTCGAATTCAGTACATGTATAATAAAGATGCGGTTGCATCCGAGCCTGACCTTTCACTAACTCCTTCCCAATTAAAAGCACTTTCTCTTTTATAAAGTGTATCCTAAAAAATTCTGCAAACAAGACAAATTCAAAGAAAGTTCTACAAGTCTTTTTATTGCTTATAAAATGTAAGTTTACACAAAAATTGTAAAAACATAAGTAATAAACATTATTAAATTTTTACAAAATTTTAAATTCAGCATTCATATCAAAATAATTTTAAATAAAAATAGCATAAAATGTGCAAACATAAAAGTACAATTAAACTCAATTTTATTTAACTCGGTTTAACGATAAATTATCAAAAACAGAATTGCATATTTTTCACACAAATGTTTGCACTCAGATGTACATAAATGTATTAATTAAATATATGAATAATAATTACTAGAATTAATCCTATAATATTTTCTTCTTTATTTTATTAAATCGTTTAAAACAAATAAATACTTCATTTAAAAATTTTATGCTGTTAGTTCCTAACGACCGTTCTATAGATAATATAAGATTAATAAATACATTTTCAGCTTTAACAGTAATGGTATTAAAATAATTTCAATTTCGAAAATCTTATTTTCATCATAAAAATATTATTAATAGATAAATTATCCAATTTCATTAGTTATTTCAAGTATTGTGTTCAGGTAAATCGCATTTTATCCATTAGAACAAATCCAAAGAGAAATAATCCAGATTAGCGAAAAAATAATTTGTGTATTAGTCATTTTGACGAATTGTCAGATTGTAAGGCATAAATTATCACCCGAATTTTCTTTAATAATATTTAATATAAGATACTTAATTTATGGAACTAAAAGCCAAGTAGTTTAATTTTCCTAAACTATTACAAATTTTACTTTCATAAAGCCAATAAAATAGTGAAAACCACAGTATTTAATTTTTTTTATAGGAAAAGTATTTGGAACATCTTTAAAAAATAGGTCACATTCTATACTCAAAAACAATATATATTTCGCTATATAAATTAAGGACAGCTTAAAGTGTAAATCAAAATTTCTGTAAAGATTATAGAACAGACAGTTGTAGTGAAAAGAAACACAGAAAAGAAGAAGAATAAATTTGTTGATTATTCTAACACTTCGGATTAGTGCTAAAACAACGGTTAAACCCGTGAATTTTTACTTTATTGATTTAAAATTGAAACCATCTTGAAGTCTATTTAAAATTTTACTTATAGAGACATATATAATAAATTTATTTATATAAATAGATCTATGAATTTTCAGTAATCGACATCAAAATTTAAGCAAAAGAAATACTGAGAAAATGCAATTGAAAGTATGAATTACCCTATAATAATTATATTTCAAGTTATAACCAGTAATTTTTAACAGCGAATACATTACCTTTTATTTAATATGTAGATTAGTTTATTAACGTAAAATCCCTTTTTCATGAATGGTAATTAACAAATAAATCGAAGCAGTTACCTGAATTGTTAATCGTAAAAATTTATTTATACATATAACATAACAATGATTGAAAACTTATGTATATA